CGCCGCGGCGGTTGAGGGCGAAGTGAGGGCGAGCTTGAGGTGTGGGCGGTGCAAAGCGAGGAACTACTGCTCTGCGCGGTGTCAAAAGGTGCGTCTTTGGTCCTTGGTTCACATCAAAAGCTACGTGAACGTGCTCTGACCTTTTCTGGGGGCCTTGTTGTGTCATGCGATCTCAGCTGGACTGGCCAGCGCACAAGCCTCGGTGCGCACCAGCACCGGTGTCGTCGGCATAGGTCCGAAGTTTAGCTTGGGGGGCTTCATCGTAGCGATTTTTTTAAGATGTATCTGCCGTTATCTCACCTTCTTGCGTTCATGGTGCGATGCTCGGCGGGGGTGCCGGTGAGAGGGTGCTCAGAGCGAATCGATGCGCCACGTTCTTCGCGCACACCGCTACTCGAAACCCAGCTTCTACGCGGCAACTTTGCGGCACCAAAGGACAAAAATCAAAATAGCTTCACAACATCAAGCGTCTACACGTTGTCACCATCTCTGAAATCGCCAAACCCGTCCCAGCGGCGATTTGAGGAACAAAAAATCAAATGCCACGTGGGGTAAAAGAGGAGCTCCTCTTACGAAGGGTCAAAGAGGCAAAAGGAGATGCTCCCACACGGGATCGAACCGTGGACCTTGTGCTTGACCGTACCGATCTTGTTGTTGATTGATACTAGGCACACGCTCTACCACTGAGCCATAGGAGCAGGACACGTGTCAGTTAGTCCCGGCCTGCTGTACCGGGAAGGGCAGAAGTTTTTTTGGTCGGCGTCAAGGAGGATAGAAGCCATCTACACTTGTTCCAGCCGCCCAAGTTTAGCCCTGGGCTTTTTGATGCTGTGTACTTGAGACTTTCTACCCGGGAAGCTTCTATCGTGCGTTTCATCAGACGCTCGGTTCTTCCCTGCGTTAACCTGACACCATGGTTTACATCCCTCGCTCTCAAACGCGGTCGATGATGACGAGGGGTAAGAAACTGATATGAAAATAAAATTTAAAAGGCCCTAAAACGAGGTGACTACTAGCCTACCCCAACGCAGCTGTTCCACTAAAACAAATGCTCTCTGAAACCCATGATAACCCCAAAGGCAACTCCAGCCTACTAGATCTGAAGGCAGGTTCAAGCCAAAACGAGGCCCAAGACAACGGACCCGAGGACGAGTCCGCCGGCAACGTTGCGAGCAGCACCACTCTTCGCGGCGGTGGTAGTGGCAGCCGCGGCAGCAGTAGCGGTAGTGACGGAGGTGCTGGAAGAGGTGCTAGAAGCGGCACTGCTGGTCGAGGCGGGAGCAGCTGGAAACGTGCCCAAGGTCAGCTGAGAGACCGTGAAGTGGGACGGCCACGTAGGAGCGCACCAGAGGTGGAGGTAACGGAAGCAGAGGAGGCAGCAGCAGCGGAGGTGGTGGAGGCACTGTAGTGATATTTGAGCGTAAGTCAAGTCAAGGGACGCGTCCTGAAGATAGAAGAACTCACGCAGAGGCGGTGGAGGCTCCGGCGCTGTCGACCAACGAGATGGAGCTGGCGATCTCTTCAGGAATGCTGATCGTCACACCGACGGTAGCGCAGTACTGTTTTCGAAGTAAAGAGAAAGTAGAAGGTCAGCAAACATCAGTGCCTCTAGTCTGGGACATTTTGCGCGGCGACAAGTAGGGACGACGGCGTACCTCGGCGCCGTACTGGTCTCCGTAAGCCTGGTCAGCGGCGCTGCAGGACGCGCCGAAGCACTGGGCGACCTGGTCGATGAAGATTGAGGAAGTGCACAAGCACTGGGCGTCGGTCGTGGCGCATGACGTTCCCTGCGTCGACGAGGCGATGCAGGCGAGCACACTAGGGATATCATTTCGGTGGTTAGTCAGGAAGAACAGGCGGGGTAGATTGGGGATGGATTGTAGACATACCAGGTTGGTACGGCAGAGGATGAAGAAGTGGCCGCGGTGGTGGCGGCGAGGATGGTCGAAGGAACGGCCAAAAGGGTGAGGAAAGTGAGGGCGCGGAGCATCGTGTGGGTTGCGAAGTGTTGGTTTGGGTGGTTACGGGAACAGGTAGTGGAGCTGGCGAGTGAACGGAAAGAAGGAGAAAGAGAGAAGCAGACAGGCGGTCCCTCTTGTTGGACGAGGCTCCGCCCTCAGCCATCCGAATACAAAGCCAGCACCATCGCGCGCGGGAGAACAAAAGGCGACGAAAACACGGAGTCGCCGATCGCTCGAGTTTCGCGTTTCATCTGAAGGCACCGCCCCGGATCCGCTCTCACCGGCCCCGTCGAGACCGTTGGAAGTGCATCTGTCGGTTCCATTGAGCAATCCAAGCTGTAGAACTTGGGCTTGGCCGTAATGGAATCGCCTTGCCGCTTCGTTTGGTCCCGGGTGAGGTGGGTGGAGCTGGGCTGCGTACAAGTCTGCGACCGCCAACTTCTCGCTCACTTCGTCTCGTCAGCAAGTGGTCATTTTGACTGATACGGAGTGTGGAGTGCTCTGAATACGTCAATAGATGGCCCTACGTGCTCCCTCGTCTCATCGGCTTCCAGGTCGCAGGTCCCGAAAGCTCAACGCAGTCTCCCTTTGTTCTGGTCGGGCGACCAGTGAGAAGAGCTGTCGAGGTCACGGTGCTGCAAAACGCGGGAGAAGAGATCTTCTGTTGGCCTAAATAGATATGTTTGCGGGTTCAGAGAGCGACAGGTGCGAAAGACACAGCTTCAGGACAACATAAGCCCGACCACCACGTCAGTTCACGGCTTAGGTGGCTTGCGTGCGGTCTTGCATGATGACCGGGAGGCAAAAGTACACCAAGCCGATCGTGTATTAGCCCAGCTTCTTCATTCTCCTTCCTCGTCGCTGGTTCGCTGCCCTCACCCTCCCGAATTTTTTTTGTATCTATCGACTTAATTGCAGCGGACTACGATCAAGAAGTGGAGCACAAGGCTAAATGCAGTTTACGCACGACGAAGCAGGAGGAGCTCGACAGTGTGGGACTCAGGCGGACAGCCAATACCCACTAAAACCAGGGTGGGGGGGGGAGCGGGGGAGGCGAGTGGGAGAAGGTGGAGGGGGAAAAGGTTGGATGGTGCGCGGGGCTGGCGTCCTTAGACGCGGCTGGCGATGCAAGCAAGGTCGGTGGAAGGGAGGGGGAGGAGTGGTGTGGTAGTGGAGAAGCGTCGAGAGCGGGAGAGGGTCCAGATCTCGTGAATGAAGCGGGTTTGGCGGAGGATGGAGGGGAGGAGCTGCTTGGAGAGCGGCGATGGGCAGGCGAGTTGTTGGAGGGAAGGGGGAGGGATTGTGTTATCTGTAGCTAGAGCCCATATTTCAATAGAGATCTCGCATTCAGTGAAGAGGTGTTGGATGGACTCAGCTTGGGGCGAGAGACAGATCCGGCACGCCTTAGTGAGGTTGTTGGGGAAGGGGGCTGTGCCACCGAAAGGAGGGGGCGCGGCGGCAACTTGGGTGCCAGGGTGGAGGGATCGAAGGGAGAGGAGGTGGGATGTGTTGGTGTGGTCTGGGAGGATGTGTCGAAGGATCCGGAGGTACTTCCAGTACGCTTTCCAGTCAGAGGGGCGGAAGGAAGTGGGGGTAGGAGTCCAGGTAGGGAGGATGGTGCTGTAGCGGTGTTTGGTGAGAGAGGACGCGGTCTTGTCAAAGGAAGCGTCACTCAGCTCATTTCCACTCCATTCCTCACGGAACCACGCTGGGGGGATGCGGAAGTTTGGCTTTTTGGCGTTGGAAGGGTTGAGAACAGTGAGGGACCACGCGAGCCTAGAGGAGGAGAGGGAGGGAGATAGGGTGACTGAGCTGTTCCATGCTTCAAGGTAGGACCTCCAACGGGATGGAAGACTTAGCCTGAGGCTTGCCACCGTCCCAATCCAGCTGGTGTCGTCAAAAGAGGGGGATCTGGGAAGGCAGAAGAGTGCCCACCAAGTCCAGACTCTCTTGGGGGAGTTGCGGCGGTAGACGTCGTCCTGGTAGATCCTCTTCCGGAGGAGGACGTCCTCGAGGAGTATAGATCGTATGGCTCGAAGGTGGCGGATGTGGAAGGAGGTTGAGGGAAGGAGGTCGAAGATCCAGCGCGCCCTAGGACCCTGCAGCTTAAGGGACAGGTCAAGGAGTCCAAAGCCACCGCATTCTAGAGGGGTACATAACCTTTTCTTTGAGACTAAGGGAGTTCCCTTCTTGCCCCAGATGGTGGAAAATGCGGCTTCTTGAAGGGAGGAAATGATTGTTGGAGGCGCGGGGGAGAAGCGATCGAGGTAGAGGATTTTGGTGAAGCAGTACTTGTTGATTATGGCGCATCTGGTGGAGATAGGAAGGTCATACATCGGGATAGATCTCATCCTCTGTACCACCTTGTGAAGGGCGGCGTTCCACTCCTTCTCCCTGTCCACTGACGGCCCCATCTGCACGCCTAAGCACCTGAACTCTGAGAGGTGGACCTTCCAGTCGCCCCACTGAGTCCTGAGGAGGGGTAGAGAGCGGAACTTGCCAATGGGGATGAGAAGGGACTTGGAGTAGTTCGTCCTGGAGTTGCTGGCCTTGCAGAATGTGGTGAGGGCTGATTGGAAGCGGGAGAGGTCGTCGTAGTCCCTGACAAAGCAGTTCACATCATCAGCGAAGAGCAGCTCTCTGAGAAGAGGGAGGTGAGAGGATGGTATCCCTAGCACTTCCTTTCGGATGAGAGAGGCCAATCCCTCTATGGCTATGGCGAATAGGGAGGGGGCAAGGGGATCTCCTTGCCGGACGCCTGAGAGAAGTGGGAGTGAGGTGGTGAGCCATCCATTGAGATATACTCGCGCTTTTTGAGAGGTAAACGTAGCTGAGTACCACTGTTGGGCTTTTGGCCCAAAACCTAGCCGATCAAGCGTCTGTTGGAGGTATTGGTGAGAGATCCTGTCGTATGCCTTCTCCAGGTCCACTGAGGCCATGAGGCCAGGGTGAGTGTCCTCAGTGTTGAAAGCGCAGTGAATCTCCTCAATGTTGGTGCCAATCCACCGCCCTGGGATGAAGCCGGTCTGCTGGGGGCCAATGATGTGGTGGAGGACGGGGGCGAGGCGACGATTGTGGGCCTGGGATAGGAGGCGCGAGTCCGTGTTGATGAGGGAGATGGGGCGCTTGTTGGAGAGGGAGGAGTGGTTGCCCTTCTTGTGAGGGAGGTGGATGTGTACCTCCTGTGAAGGGAGCGTCTCAGCGTCATAGAAAGGGATGGTGTTGAGGACAGTGAGGAGAATGGGGCCAGTGACTTCCCATGTGGCTGTGTAGAACTCGAAGGGAAGTCCGTCAGGCCCAGGGGAGCAGCGACGCTGGCATGCCTTGAGGGCAGATGAAAGCTCTTCGAGGGTGTAGTCCTCCTCTAGGGCTGCCTGCGCATTAGGGGGGAGGGAAGAGGAGTGAGAGGAGAGGGTGGACTGGAGGTCTGGCGCGCTGATCTCTGTGGGGGAGTAGAGGGCGGAGAAGAAGCGGTGGGCCTCGCCTAGCATGTCTTCAGTTTCCGTTACCTCTCCTGTGGGGGTTGTGAGGGAGGGAATGAGGTCAGCTGCTCTGATCTGGCGCAGCCGGATGGAGAGAGATGACTCCCCAGCCTCAGAGGGAGGGAGGCGAGCTCTGATCGCCTGACCACGGTGTTCCTTCGCTTGTTGGAGCTGAGGGTGGTTGAGGCGATCAAAGATGGAGTGCTGGATGGAGAGGGTGCGGAGTTTTGGGCCTAGGTGGGCTTTAGTGTGTCT